AAAATAAAAATAAAATTCTCAACTGACATCTATAATTCTCGAATTATATGTCGTGTACAAGATTTTATTTTTTTATTTATTTGAAGTGATGTAAAATGAGATGAAATAGGCATCTATCAGTTAAGCTAATCTAAAATCATACATTATATTCGAAAACATACCATACTTATTATTTTTTAGTCATTGAAATCAATATAAAAATATTCCAATATTTACTCTTATTTATCCATAAATTAGTTGACATGGACGTGTAAGTCATGTATACAGGAATCGCAGCGACCTATGTATTAAATGCACGAAAATCTCGTAGGAAAAATCAGGAATTTCAATAAAAATCAGAATATGGTAAAACCTATGGTATTCGTTTAGTTGATATTTCACTAGTAATATTAAAGCTGGTGTTCTTCCTCATAAAATGTTCCACCGTATGATGTTATAACGTCACACTGTGGAACATTTTATGAGGGAAAACATCAACTTTAATGTTACTTGTGGAATACCAGCTAAACGAATACCAAACCTATTTTATTATTTCTGTATAAGACAAACTCTATATATAAGTGAATAAATTAGCAATAAATTCATGATACTTACCCCTAAGAGTTATTCACGTTATATTTATTCCCTAATATCAGTTTTTAGAAATCAATTAACAATAAAAATAACATATTTTAAGTACAAGTGAAATACGAATGACGTACGATATTTCACTGATGCTTCGTCGTATTTCATTCTAACTTCGGCGTATTGAGGTGTTTTTTTTCTCCTGACATATACCTCTTTGAATATTACATTTGTGTAAATCTTTCCCAGAAGTTTTTTATGATTAAAGCTTACGAATGAATCTCTTCAGATATCAAACTGTTTTTCAACCGAGACGATGTTCATCTGATGAGTAATGGAAAAGTCTAGAATGGTTTAGTTTTCCAAACCGTCGTTCTTGAGATATCGAAATTTTACTGATTTTTTTTTTCAAGTCTCTCATATCACGTAAAAAATTGACTTTCGATTTCAAATTTTGCACGAACGAAGTTCTCAATGAGATTAGTTCGTTAGAAAAGTTGTAACTTTTCTAGTATCTCCTATTCTGAGATATTTAATATTCGAAATTTTCTCATGTATAAAAGCGAATTTTGTTCAGATTTTTACATGTCAAGTAGGAAAATACCAGTTGCACGATCAACTAATCTCATTAAGAACTTCATGGAAAGTTTGAAGTCAAAAGATAATTTTCCATTTGACCTGAGGGACTTGAAAAACTCAGTAAAATTTCGAAACCTTGAGAACGAAACCAGTCTAGACTTTTCTATTACCCATCAAATAAACATCGTCTCAGTTGAAAAGCAGTTTCACACCTAGAGAGTTCCCTCGTTATTTCATAGAAATTGGCTTTATTTGATGACAACTTGCCTTAAACTATAATTTAAGAATTGTATAAGGCCAGAACTTGAAACTTGATGACATATACAGAAATAGAATTGAAAAATAAAAAGTTTTGAAAGTTTGTAATCAATAGTTTGCTAAAGTTATGTTTAGTTTTAAAAATGAAAGAGATAATATTTATTGAACAATACAGATAAATTTATATCAAATTTTACGACAATTTTAAAAATTTGGTTCAAAACGATGAAAACATTCGATATTAACAAAAAGAAAGAAGTTCTCTTCTTGAGGATCCTCCTGATATCAATAACAATTGCTCATGTAAAACTAACTGCTTTGAAACTTTGATCAATTGAAAACTACTTAAAACCGATTACGAAAGAATACAAAAGAAAAACAAATATGATATGAACATTATATTGTTCTTTCTTGATGGAAAATGTTTTAAAAGTATTTTAATAAAAGCCTTGAAAATAAATTAATTATAATACAGAACGCTTCATTGTCCTGTAGACATAGTCCTACAGCAATAGATCGTAAAATATCAGAAAAGTAGTATCGCTGCCAGGTCTGATACTGGATATATGCAGGGGGATAACATTTGGAGAATGTGAAGCCTTCTTGTTTGTGAAAATTATTCACGCAGTATTCATTTTGCCTGAGACTCAATCACTCTACTCATTCTTTTGTCTCTAGTGCAGAGTTATGTTTCTGTATATATGTGATCAGGCTCAAATCAACTGACCTATTGAACATTACTTTTTTAAAGAAATTATCTTAAGGAATTAAAGCAAATTATCAGTATAGAAAGGATGTGTCAGAAGATTTGAAGCGATTTTCAAAGTATTTGCTCTTAAATTCAACAAAATAAAACTTTGTAGAACTTTATTAACTTATTGTATTAATTTAAGAAAGAGATACTCTGAGTGTTTTCTCGTTTTGTGAGTTTACATTTTACCCGTTAGTAGGACTTAGACGGTCTCAACACCGTTCAGATGTATGATCTACTGATTAAACATTACAGTCGTGCGGGTAAATTTCCGGTCTCGGATAAGGTTTCTAGAGCAAGGTATAATGCAAGTATTTCGAACTGAAATTGTATTTATCAAGAAATCTCAAGATACTGACTTTACATGACAAATGCATTCTTTTCTCATCAATCTCTTGTAGGAAAATATTCTTCAATAATCGAATGCTTCGAGAAAGAAGCTGCCGTCTTGACTTTAAGTTTTAGTGCATGCTAGAAATCATGAGATCTATTGATGAACAGAATTTCAAATCGAAATATTATCATTTCACATTGCTCTAAAGATCATATCTTACACCCAATTCACTTAAACCGCTTTAATGTTTGACCAATAGGTAATGGATACGAACACTGTTAAAACCGTTTATTATGAGCAAGATATTAACTCAAAATAAAACAGCTGAAGTAACTATAATATTTAAGATCGATAGTTTCTACAATGAGTCAAAAACTTTAATAACACTACAATGTTCTAATTTATAAATTCTTCAATATATTAAACTGATAAAATGCGATACACAAATATTAATCTCATACTTTCTTTGATAAATAGAAAATATTTTCTTGACACAAACAATTTTCATTCGTATACGTGTCAATGCAAGAAATATAGAAATATTTAAGTAAAAGATGCATGTAATTTTCAATATTGTTAAACATATTTTTGTTAATAGCATTGCTCTAGAAATCAGAACAATGAAAAAGAAATGAGTATGTTGTTTTATCTACAAATCATAGCTAAAATACAAATAGGATTGAAATTAGTAATGAATCAGATTGGTAATAAAATACACAAATACTATTAATCTGATGTCTTTGTTTTCATTTGGAAAAATCATTTTGATTTTAATAATACTAACATAATAGATGCTAAAAATTATAAATAAAACATAATGTCGATGGAATTTCCTAGTCATCGTAGAAGCAGCTATCAATAGTTAACGTTTTTATGTAGTGAATTTCCAACATATTAAGATGATCATTCCGTCGCTAGTGAAAAGACGTTTTAAATAACGTATTATTGCACTAAATTCCATGATATTTCACTGTAATTTCTCATCCACTTTTACAAACCATCATTTTTTCTACCGTGTCCTGGAATGATGGATTACGGCACCGCTTTCTTGGACTTGAGAATTTCTTTATGTAGGCTATTATTTCATAAAAAATAAAGATGAAATATGTGGTAACCATATATACCCAGGCAACTGATTCCGGCGCTCAGATCCGTGAATTTTCAGTCCGAAAATTCGAGAAAATGGTACAAACTTGAAAGTAGGAATTTGGTGGCTAGATTTTTCTAGCTCCGATCGTAATCGCACAGAATCAGTCATCGAATTCCTATTTCCTAGTTTCTACCATTTTTCCGGGTTTTCCAGCCTGAAACGGCCCCGTATTTCTTGATTTGAGAAGTGAAATAGCAGAAGATATAATAAAAATATTATTCGAATTAAATAATTAGGCAAATATATTTCTTTTTTTAAGAAAAATACATATATCAGAATCAGATCATTAACAAATTTAATTTTCAAAAAACTACCATATGAATCAAATATATTCACAATACAATAATTAACGAGAGAATCTTTTCAACTGCCGTCTCCTTTCGATTTCAATAATTTTGGTTATCTATTGAGACTTGACTAAGCTATTGAATTTTTAATATGTCTATTTTCTAGAGCATCCACATTTTCGGAAAAGTCGTACTTTCGAATTTTAATTTGAAACTTCGTATATTATATCGAAGAGACTTTGTTCAAAACTTTTGAATGTGTTTTTATAGAAGTTAGCCTAGGAAAGTTTCAGATCGAAATTCGAAAAACGTCTTTTCCGAAAATATGAAGGCTCTAGAAAATAGAAATATTAAAGATTCGATAGCACAAGCAAATATCAATAGGAACAGGAATGCTTTTAGGGATTTTATTAGAACACAACGTACTATCTGTAGGCAAAAAAAATATCATTGAAACCGGAAGGAAGCAGCTGAAGAGATTCTCTCATGAGTTATGCATTTAAAAATATGAACTTAGCGATAAAAATCATTTTGTTAATAAAGAAAAAATATTTTATATGAAAAAAAAATATAAAAAATTAATTTTCTTTTTAATAAAAAAACAATTGTATTTCTTGTTAAAATTTTATGTATGAAAAATTATTGTCTGTTTTCAAACATATTGATAAAAATAATAATTATTGTAAAACATGAATCAAAAAATATTAAAAATCTTCTTTTAATTCTAATAGTACAAATTATTTTTATTCTAATTCGAGTGTTTCCCAACAACTATTAGTCGTCCGGAAGTAAGAAAAAAAAAATGGTTGAATTGTGGTAAAGCCAGGACTTGAATTTGATTGGTTTATTATATCTATATGTAGTGAGCAATATATTTCTTTCTTCGGTTAACATGTTTGGCTCACCTCCTACGACCTTTATTTTGATTTGATTTGATTTGATTATTTTCCTTCTTTTCTATTTCATATTGATATATTCATTGATTATCTTCCTATTTTGATTATAATCTAGTCAAAAGAAATTTTCAAAAAAATAAATAATAGAGCCGAAACAATTTTATTTTTGTAAATATACATAATGAATTGGCAACCAGTACAAGCTGATGATCTTCAACAAATTTTAATATTATTACGTCAATCCCAATCACCCGATACACAAATTCAACGACAAGTTCAAGCACGTTTAGAATCACTTAATCAATATCCTGATTTTAATAAATATCTTGTTTATATTTTAACAAAATTACTTGATGAACAAGAAGCAACACGTTCATTATCTGGTTTAATTTTAAAAAATAATGCTAAATCACATTATGAAAAATTTCCAGATGAGGTACGATCATTTATTAAACAAGAATGTTTATCAGCATTAGGTGATCGTTCACCATTAATACGTGCAACTGTTGGAATATTAATAACAACAATTGTTACGAAAGGTTCATTAGAACAATGGCCTTCTTTATTAGAACATCTTTATTCATGTTTGGATTCAGTCGATATTAATTTATGTGAAGGAGCATTTGGAGCATTACAAAAAATTTGTGAAGATAGTGCTGATCAACTTGAAAGTGCACCTTCACAACCTTTAAATGTACTTATACCGAAATTTATACAATTTTTTCTTCATTCTCATCCAAAAATTCGATCACATGCTATTGCGTAAGACTTTTTCTATTTTCTATTTTTGTTTCTTTTTGAGTTTTTTTATGTATGGTTTTGAAAAAAATATTATCGAAGAAATAAGTAATGAAGTCAATTCAACTGGGAAATTTTTCATACTAAAATTTAACTATCAAGGGAAAGCATTTTTTTTTTGTTGTCGTTATAAGTTAATCGAAGAAAAATGAGAACAAGTTATTCTACGTAAAAGTTGTCTTCTCGATTTTTATAATTAGATTTCAAAAACATTACTAAAGTCATAATTATATTATAAAAACTGAAATATATTCCAGAAAGAATTGATATTATTTAGTTAATGAGTTTGGATAATCAGAAATATTCTGTATATGAATAAGGAGTGTTATCGATTATAATAAAATCATTGTTTTTTGTTGTTGTTGTTTGAATATGAATTAATTTAGAATAAACTTTTTTCTTTCGTTTTTCTTTAGTTGTGTTAATGAATTTATAACACCACGTGCTAGTGCTCTTATGGCAAATATTGATTTATTTCTTGAAAATTTATTTCAATTAGCAAATGATACTGATTCTGATGTACGTAAACATGTTTGTCGTGCATTAGTTATGTTAGTTGAAGTTCGTATTGAACGTTTAATACCACATATGCAACAAATAATTGAATATATGTTATTAACATCACAAGACAGTGATGATACTGTTGCATTAGAAGCATGTGAATTTTGGTTAATGATTGCTGATCAAGCCATATGTCGAGATGTTTTACAACCATATTTAGATAAATTATTACCAATTCTTTGTAAAAATATGAAATATTCAGAAATGGATATTATTCTTTTACGAGGTGATATTGATGAAGATGAACACATACCAGATCGTATTGAAGATATTCGTCCAAGATTTCATCGAGCACGTACTAGACAACAAACACAAAATTTATTAGATACAAATAGTCAATTAAATACTATGACTGATACAAATAATAATTCAACAGCAACATCACCGAATAATCAATCAGGTCAACATTTACAAGATGATGATGAAGATGATGATGATGATGATGATGATGGATCAGGTATTCTAGATTTTAATCAAGAGAAAAAAAAAATTCTCATCTTGTTCAGAAGAGATGTGCAAGGTAGATTAAAAGTTAGCAAATTTTTCTTACGAGAGAAAGTCTCCAAGTATGACGCATCATTTTGAATCAGATCTGTACTAGTTAGTACAGCTTGATGAAACTAGATGAAGTCTAAAAAGTTTCGTTCCCACACACACTGTCCTTCTCAATTTATGACTGTTTTACTAGATTTTCGATCTCTAGTAAGGTATACATGGGAAAATCGAAATATAAGATTTTGACCTGCAATTTTACCCATAGATAGATCTCATGATCCTTAGAATGTCTTAAAAATTTCAGCTCAAAAGAATATTTTTCTCTTGGGATATCGAATGTTGAAGATACTCGCTCTTCTGACCTTTTCTTGCAACACATGATCATTTTCTGGATGCCTAATATCTGCAGAATAAAATATTCTTTGGTCTGCAATTTTTAGAACATTTTAAGGACCATGATACTTATCAATGAGCAAAAGTTTAGGTCAAAATCCCGTAATTTGATTTTTCTATACATACATTACTAAAGGTTGAAAATTCAGCAAAACAGTCATCACTCGAGAAAGACAGCATATGGGAACGAATTCTTTTAGGCTTCATCTAGCCTCATCAAGGTCTACTAACAGGTATAGATTCAATTCAAAACCGAGCGTCACACTTGGAGGCCTTCCCTCGTCAGTCAGAATACAGAGTACGAAAAAAAGCTTATCTTGTACGTCTCTATTATTTAACGACACCTCTGTTTCACAAGAGATCATACCCAATTATCGAACGCCATTACAAGTAGGTCTCGGTGAGGATAATATAACCTTGAAAAGACTCAGGCCTACTGTTAAAGAATGATAGACGTTTTTAACGAAATTTTTACTGCAAACAAGGCATTACAGAAAAATTCAAAACAAAAAGTTTCAGCCTGAAATTTGGCATATTTGATAACCATTAGGTTGTCCGTAAAGTTTCAATGAAAACGAGTATGTCTTTCTCGAGATATTCAATTTCTAAGAGGATAGCGGTTTACCATAAGAGAAGGCCATAATCAAATTTACTTTGAAATCGAATATCTCAATAAAGACATATTGAAACTTTCAGAATAACCTGCTGAATATCGAATATACCAAATTTCAGGTCGGGGTATGAGTGTGGTTGTAACTCTTTATCAATAGACCATGAATCCGAGTTTTTCTTAAGCTTGTCTTATTCTCACTAACGCCTACTTGGTAACCATAGTATGAAATCGAATGGTGTCCATCAGTTGGGTATATTTCCTTGTCAATACATACTTACTTAAATCTCAGAAACTATGTATTTCTACGGAGGATTCAATATAGTATAAGGATATATAGTTTTTTAATTCATATAACACTGAATGATCAGAACTAATGTCTTTTATTTTCTTCAGGTACAAATGCTGATCAAGCAACTGAATGGAATTTACGTAAATGTTCTGCAGCTGCATTAGATGTTCTTTCAAATGTATTTCGTGAAACAATTTTACCAATATTATTACCAATCTTACGTGAAATGTTATTTCATACAAATTGGCAAATAAAAGAAAGTGGTATACTTGTATTAGGTGCTATAGCTGAAGGTTGTTCACATGGTTTAGCACCACATTTACCTGATCTTGTTGATTATTTAATAAAATGTCTTAATGATAAAAAACCTTTAGTACGTTCAATAACATGTTGGACATTATCAAGATATTCAACATGGATTGTACATAATGAAGTACAACAAAATAGATTTCTTATTCCTTTAATGTCTGAATTACTTAAAAGAATATTAGATGCAAATAAAAAAGTAAAAATAAAGAAATAATTCTTTTTTTTTGTTAAAATAATGATTTAAATATTTTAGGTTCAAGAAGCTGCTTGTAGTGCATTTGCAACATTAGAAGAAGAAGCATGTATACAAATGGTACCGTATTTAAATCAAATTCTTGAAACATTAGTACATGCTTTTCGTAAATATCAAGCAAAAAATTTATTAATACTTTATGATGCTATTGGAACATTAGCTGATAGTGTTGGTTCACATTTAAATCGTCCAGATTATATACAATTATTAATGCCACCATTAATTGAACGATGGAATTTATTAAGAAATGATGATAAAGATTTATTTCCATTACTTGAATGTCTTTCATCAATTGCAACAGCATTACAAACAGGATTTTTACCTTATTGTGAACCAGTATTTGGTCGATGTATTTTACTTGTACAACAAACATTAGAAGCTAATAGTGGAGATACACCAGCGGATAAAGATTTTATGATTGTTGCACTTGATTTACTATCCGGTTTAGCTGAAGGACTTGGTAATTATATTTTATTTTATTTCAAAAGAAAATGAGTTCTTGACTATTTCGGATAAGATTTAGTTTTATAGGAAAGTGGAAACTGTAAAATATGATATGTGTGAAGTTCGAAGTCAAAATACATAACTTAGTTTTTCTGATGTTCTTGAAGAGCGAGTTCCATGACGAGAGATATGCAGTGTTGGTGTAGTATACTGAAGAGTAAGTCAATAACATCGAATCTCCTAGGAGATTGGCATCGATATTCACTGAAGCACTGACATCTACATTCGTTACAATACGGACACACCAACTCTATCAAAATATGCACTCTTTGTAGTGACATGCTTCACTGCATACAGGTGCAGGTGTGCCAGTGCATATTAATCACGTACTTAGTAAACTCAAATCGCACATCCCTATTCATCATAGTTTACTAAAAGCACAATAATCCGACAGCAAGAAGTCAGAAGCATGAACTCTTTTGAATAGAAATGGAACTGATCTGAATTTTTACGACCGAACCAGACTGGCCGCTCTGAAATGCGCACCACTACCAATTCCATCTCTGATGGTGAAAGTATTCATAATTTATTAGAGTTTCTATGATGTTGAAAATTTCCTTAAACAACTTAAATAATCAGTAAAATCGTGATAAACTCCTGAGACTAGACTAGAAATTCATACATATGAGTTTTTGAGGGTAAAGTGAAACATGGTCGCCGATAAATGGTCACTACGAAAATGCGTACGCACGAATTTATTAATCGAAAATATATTTAATAATAAAATAAACTTTGTTTTATAAATACTGTAAGTAAAACTTTGATTAAATAATCAAGATTTGTTGTGTTTCATTGTATTCAATTTATATGTTGACACTTTAGAAAAAAAAAACAAAAGTAGAAACCAGTTTTCTAAAATAGCTTTCAATATACTTTACTAATAATCTTTTATTCGAATAATTTTTCTATTAAAAGATATCTAGCCTATAATGATATTTGTTAATAAGAGTTTTTAAATAGAGAAAAGTTCAATTTATCGAAATTACAAAGTTGGATCAAAGGTTTCCGGAGTTGAGAAATCCGAATCGGAAATCAGTTTTGCAAAATTCTATACTTGGTTTTTCGATGCAGTAGAGGCTATTTTAGGACACGTGATCAAGAAATCAAGTACATAGTTCTGAAAAAACGATTACAGATTCAGATTTCTCGACCACGAAAACCTTTGATCAACTCTATAAGGTGTCGTTTATTTTAAAAAATAGTTTTTCCTGGATAAACTTACAAAAATCTTCGTTACTTGATAACGGGAACTTTTCTGTTACTGGATAATTCGTAACATAAAAGCAATTTCTTAGCCCTAATAGTGACTATTATGATTAAGTAGAACGATCTTCTGCATCACTCAAACGAAAACAAAGATTGATTTGAGATGTCCTCAAAGAATCACCATAAGGAAAAACCAGCTAATTCTATGTACTTTAATCGATAGCATATTTTTCAAGTAGGTGATGACAGAAATCATAAACATTTTTTGCAAAAAATGAGGTGCTGAATAAAGAAATCATGTCATTGATGAAAGATCAAATCTCGAGCTATCCTCCCATGCATTTATCTTAATTTTGATAATTCTGACGCAAATTGCTTTTTGTGGGACTCATATATTCCTGAAGAAAATAATGAGTGAAAGTTTTGCATCTTCAATCATTACAGACCTTAGAAACCGCAAAAGTAAATCAATTGTTTAGATCAATGGCAGAAGCAAACAAAGGAAAGAGTATAGAATTAAGGTACTAATAATGAAGTAATGTTTAATGTGTGTAAGTTCCACATTTCAGCTTCACAAAGGTTGCCCGAACAAACTTTTTTCTGCGGAGAAGCTTTAAGAAATTTTTTTTCTTTAATTACAAAATTCTCAACTAAATCTCGTAGTGACTAATATTCATAGACTTATTTTGTGAACTTTTTCAATATAGAGTGGGCTATAACTAATACTACGATAACAAAAAAAACTGAAATATCTCTGCTTCGATTCGTTAGAATAGGCTAAATTTTGACTAGTGGTAGAAGTTTTATTTTCGTACGAATGTCATAAACAAATACTATTGTCAAGCTGTATTTTTAACATGACTTAAGAAATTTCACCTACTGTCAAGGACGAAAAAACAAAAACAAATGATGCATGATATAGACAATGTTGTATTATCATGTAAGAGAACAATAAGAACAGATTAAAACGAACTTTATGAATGATACTATATTAATACATACAAAGATATTAGTCAGTTAAAATTCTGAAATTCGTGTACTATAAGTAAAACACTTAATTATACCCTTTTGAGTATCAAAACATTAATTTCCCTGCAAAAAAACTAGGTATTCCATGTTTGAAAATTTGTTCTTATTCATTTCTTAGGTGATAATAAAAAAAATATTTATACAACGCTTTGTTTGTTTTTTTCTTATTTGACCGTGTGTGAAATTTCTATAGTCAGGTGAAAAATATTATTTAGCAATTATATTTATTTACGTTATTCGTATAAAAATAATAAACATTTATTACTAATCGAAAATTCTGCTCATTCCAACGAACCGAAGCGAAAATATTTCAATTTTTTATCTTTAGTGTTATTTATAGTCCATCCTACGCAATGACTTTTTTGTTAGTTTCATACACTAATTAGTGTGTCTATTCAATTAAATTTTAATAGTCTTATTAAAAAAAAACTAGAAGCTATTGTTATTTAACGAATTTTTCTTTTGAAAAATTATGATAATCACTATAATTGAAGATAGAATTTTTTTATACATATGATTTTTAATTAATTGAAAAAATAATTTATTTTTCGTGTTTTTTCTAGGTTCTCATATTGATTCTCTTGTTGAACGATCAAATCTTTTAACATTACTTGAACGTTGTGCACAAGATTCAATGGCTGAAGTTCGTCAAAGTTCATTTGCATTATTAGGTGATTTAACAAAAGCATGTTTTCGTCATGTTCGTAAACATCTAAATATTTTTTTACCATTATTAACACAAAATCTTGATCCACATCACGTTAGTGTATGTAATAATGCTATATGGGCTATAGGTGAAATAGCTATACAAATTGGTTCTGAAATTCAACCATTTGTTTCAATTATTCTTGAAGCATTAATTATAATTATTAATCGAAATAATACACCGAAAACTTTATTAGAAAATACAGCAATAACAATTGGACGTTTAGGTCTTGTTTGTCCAAATGATGTTTCCTCTCAATTAGCACGTTTTATTCGTCCATGGTGTGTTGCTTTACGAAATATACGTGATAATGAAGAAAAAGATTCAGCATTTCGTGGTATATGTAATATGATTATATTAAATCCATTAGGTGTTACAAGTGAATTTATTTATGTATGTGACGCTATAGCATCATGGGAAAAACCACCTATGGAATTACATGCTAAATTTCGAGATATTTTACAAACATTTAAACAAGAATTTGGTAATGAACAATGGAAACAATTAACAGATCGATTTCCTTTACCACTAAAACAGCGTCTTCAAATTCATTATGGTGTTTAAATGATCATTTTTTTTTCTTTTTTGTTTTTTTTTGCTTGACGACATTGATACATATATACATATATATATATATGTGCAGAAAAATGAAACGTACTTTTTTTTGTCTTTAAATAAAGTCGTCTTAAAATTTTTTCTTTAATTTTTTTTTTTTTTACAGATATATTCTCATATAGTTCATTTCACACGTTTTTTCTCGAATGTTCTTGGTTCTTCTATTTTTTATTGTTTTTTTTTTCTTGTTCTTTCACTGTCAAGGAGTCAATGTTTGAACTACTATTTATTTTTCATTTTACAATGAAATGTGGCAAATGGATACTTGATAATCAAAAGAAAAAAAAGCTTTCGAATAATAGGTTGGAGAATTGAAATTGTAAAGTAGTAAAGTCGCTTATATGAAATTTTTTGAGGTTTTTTGATAAATGAAAAAAAGATTTGATTTTAAAAAGGAGAAAATCTTAAACGAATTCGAAGAAGCTGAAAAATTCTCATTTTTTATTTTATTCAATCGATCAATGCAACGATGTTTGATTTTTCTGAGATTAGAAATAATGTCTTCTAACATTGCTTTTGTTGATCTTACAGAAAATTATTAATAATATGTTTTTTATTACTATTTAGAATTCGATATTTTTATAATAAATTCAATTTTCAAAACATGATATATTATAGACAATTTTTGAAACTTTTTCTTTTTAGATTATCATTACTTTCGAGTTTTCTGGTAGTTTATTTTATCTACAATATTTTTTAATGTTAATTATTTGTTTAGTTAATCATAGGAGACGAATATTAAACGTTTTAAAAACAATATTACATGGTCAATAATGCAGTTCAAATTTTCAAACTGACTCTTGCACTCTATTTAATATGCTAAATATGGAATGCGAGAATATGGCGTAAGTATTTTTATAAATTTAAATAAGAATTCATATTTTAATTCACGTATACAATGTGAAAGCTTTTTGAAAATGAAAATTATGTAACAAATAATAAAATAAATAGTACTATATTACTCTAAAAAGCCCTATATTTTTAAGTTTTTTCTTCTCGAATACTTTATAGTTGTATGCATAATATTTTAACGAGAAAATATCTGTTCTCTCTGTTTTCTTACATGTTTATGTATAAATACATGTGCATACTGATGTACGATCATTGATTATTTTTTAATGATATCGAATAATACTTGATTGACAAGTTGCACTAAGTAAATAAATGTTTCGTAGAAAATCTAAAACAATATTTCGTTATTTGTTTTTATCTTTTTGTATCAACTAATTTTTTCTATGTCATAAAAGAAAAATATTCTGTTTTTAATTGAAAAAATTTCGATAAAGATTTGAAAATTCAAAGAAATAAATTCTAGTGAGAGAATTATCTTTGGATCTTGACTGGCTACTAGTGTACTTTTGATTACTTTTGTTTTTCACTTGACAACACACACACACATTAATACAATAAGCTTAGGAACAAAAAATAATTAACACAAGTAAAGTATTACCATGGCCTTGAGCCTGTCGGGTAACTTCTCTTTCAAACTAAACAGAATTATTGGCAAAATTTTCTAACTGTTAATTTTTTTTTTCATTCCTTTTTTTTGAAACTTGTGTAAATAAACGAACTGCAAAGGAAAAAAAATTTGAAATCAGTTCAAAAGGTAACATACTATTCTCACCTACGCACTTCCTTAATCATTCTGTTCTTTCCTTCTCTTCACTTTTCAATGTATAGATGTGTCTTGATTTTTTTTTCATTTGTTTGCAAAGGTATGTATCGTGCATTTGCTATTACGCATACATGGTGTCTCTCTCTGTAACCGATAATTTGCCGTATTTCTTTTTCTTTCGTTTTTTTTCTTCATTCTAGTTTCATTTTTCTTCGTCACAGTTGAGCACACTATAAATAGAGTGGTAGATCTGATAGTAATTTTTTTTTGTGTGGCTATGATTGCAGATAAGTGAAAAATGATTTCGTTTACATAGACAGCTGGTCTGTTGATGGACTTTTGGATTGTTGAATATTGGCTAGTAATATTTACAATCATTGTTTCATTTTTGGGTGGATTAACTTATTTTATTCAACGACAAATTCCATCTGATAAATTTCAATTAGATACAATTATGAATCAACAAGGACGTCGCGGTAGTACAAGTAGTCGCCGAAAAAATTCTCGAAATGCAAATAAAAAAAAACAACCAATGACGAATTCGAACAGTAATGATATTAGTGAAGCAGAACAAAAAAAAATTTTACCTGAAATAACACTTGAAAAAGATGAACAAGAACAAGAACAAGAAGAAGACGAAGAAGATGAATCACTTTTAGAACAAACTGTACAACAATCAGATGAAAAACAAGTAAAAGAAAAATTTGAAAATTCAATTCAAACAGAACAAATTATTTCTTCTTCAACACATGTTGAAGATGAACAAGAACCTACTATAGCAATTAAACAACGTAATAAACCTAAAGTTATTAATAAATCACCAAGTTTACCTCCATCAAAAGAAGAATATATTGTTCTATCTAAACCTCAAGCAAGTGTAGCACCTGTTAAACAAGCTCATTTGTCATCACCAATCAAAAATTCATCGAATCATTTAAACCCTTCTCGAGATATGTATTCGAAATCAAATGGACATATATCACCATCCTATCATAATTATACATATTCTGCCTTTAATCCATTACCACCCCGATTCCAACAACAACAATTAGAAAAAGAAGCTGCATCTGCTGCTCGAAGATATCGTAAAAGAAGAGGACCATTACCACAAAAAAGATCACCTCTTCTGCCTGGTTCAGCTGCACGATCAAACGATTTTACACCATCGTCAGTTAAAGAACAACAACAACAACAACAACAACAAATCGATGATAATCAAAGAGAATTATCAATGAATCTTTTACCACAACAGGAATTATCGATACATAATGGTTATTCATCTGAATCCGATTTTTTAACAGGTAATATTCATTACTTTATTAAAAACAGATAAAGTCAGTTAGATTAAATCTTCATAGAAAGAATTGACATAATACTATGACAAAAACTATTAGAAAACAAAACTCTTCACGATCAGAAATTGATCTCTCTCATTATCAGTTATTTTATATAGGGTAAAAGAGTTCGTGAAAATAAGTTATTTTTTCTAACCATAATACTGTAGAGTTCAAAGTAGGCATTTGATTATATAATTTATTTAATTTCGATTAGGTAGACACGAAAGATATGTTGCTAGATTATTTTAAGCATTCATCAGTATTAATTATCCTTTTTATCAAATTCGAGTATATTTATTCTAGATTTCATATTAGTAATTTGATATAGGTATTTTGTAAGAACTTTAGATATATACAATGAGGATTGAGGAATTTATCAAAGTTTATTGCAAATCAATCAAAATTTTTTAAAGAACAGTTGCGAATTTTTACAAGTTTCTTTGAAGAAAATAATCATGGTATCTGAGTTTGTCTCTTGAGATGTCTGTCTATATACTACATGTAAGTCGAATAATTTGGCAATTAATAGATTCAATTCCAGTTTGTTGACTAATACTACTATTTCTTATTTTGACACCCTTAATTAAGCGTAGTTCCGTCTTTTTTGGTCATTTCTGGTAGACAAAGAGACAAAAGGAAGAATACGCTTGTTGTTCGTCTACCTTGCAGTATGATGTGCTATCTAACAGCAGACTCAATAACCAGATATCTTTCTTACAACTAATACTAGCTGTACCTCTGGATAGAAGACCAGCCTGAAATAAAATTCTTCCACTGAACTGCTTCACCTTTCTATACACATTAACTAATCACATACTAGCTATAAGAACAGATATATGTCACAACATAGTCAACATGTTATCGGACGAGTGATCCGAGACAAATAGCTGTTAGTGACTACTGAAGAGTCATTTCATATCAGGTGGTGTTGAGCTTTGAGTACAATACCTTGTAGAAACGTGTCGATCAATATAGCCACTCAGCTGTGACGATTCATATCAGAAGCGAGAAAGGGACATTTCGCACCTACTTTTCATTATGATCTCCCGGCGGCGGAGTTCGTTATGATCTCCGAACATAAGGAAAAAAGACAGGGTGTTCGTAATTGTGTACGGAAGTTTGGAATGCAAAAATCAATCAAGAATAAAAAAAACAGGGTGATTGTAATGAATGTCGTCCAGGACAAAAATCATTTCCGAACACCTGGACACGTGACAGGAGTTCGGAATGACTTAGTGCGAAATGTCCGCTACCCCCCGAAGCAAGTACAACCAGTTCGCCTGAAACTTTCATCACAGATAGAGCAGTTAAAATAAGGAGATACGAGTTGGAGAAAAAAGTTTTAAAACAAGGTTTTTACAGTTTTTTCGAGAAAAGTCTGATTTTTTAGATGACTACACTGGGTCTGCTTACGGACTTCCATTTAACTCTGTCTGATCACGCTGAAACTGTTACTAGAGATACTTGGAGGCATTCTATACAGATAAAATCGACCGTTTTCGTTCGTGACCTTCCTGTTCGGATTTATAGGATCCTGAGCTCTAACGCTCTGCTTTTTTAGATTCGAATCTTCACATATTTTTTTCATAAAAGAAAAAGAAGGTGAAATTTTTGAAAAACCTCAAAAAACCACCTCTGAGAACAATGTTATATAGAGGTGTGTAATCGGGCCCGATGTGACCCTCGGAATACTAGTGTGCTTCCGAAAAACCTGTGAAAATTTTATTTAGAATTTTCTTCTTCGAACTCGTGGTTTCTCGTGCTAAGTAGTCTATTTATGATAAAAATTTCAGACGGATCGGTTGTACCCTCTTCGAGAACTAGAAATGGCCAAAAAAAAAGCGGACGTAGTCTTATGTTTTGCTATTTGAACGCTAGATTTAACCATGCAAAAGATAAGGATATATCATCTTGCTCTTTCGCAATTGATACAATAATAGACAAGATTACAGATTTAAATTTTTATCATAGAAATAAATATGCAATTGATATATGTA